CCTTAGCACGGACCAAGTTGGCGTGAACATTGCCCAAGAGGTCCCCAAGACGCCCCGAGAGTGCAGCGAAGGTGTGGCCAACCAGAAGAGAGAAAGAGAAATAGAGAGAAAGCATCCTGAATCCAGACATTGTTCTTGTTCCACTGATTTCCAAGTGCCCACTCTGCGGGCCCGCACACCAGCCCAAGACAGCCGCAGGAGGGACTCAAGGGAGCCCCAAGACGGCCCAAGAGAGCCTTAGTGCGGTCCACTGGGTCCCCAAGACGGCCCAATACGCTCACGCGCCCGTGGAACACGCATGGACGACACTCCTTCGGGCTGCTCATATGCCATGCTTGACACATCGCGGTGATCATGCGGCTCTGCAAGGAGACACGTCTACCCCCCCAAACAGCCAGTCTGCTTGAGAGGTCCCGGCAATATGGGCACAACGCGCGTCCGTGGATCAGCAGGGTCGATGCTCCCACGGAGTACCCAAGTGTCATGTCTGCTACATCGCGATGCTGGATGGAGTGTCCCCACAATCTTGCCGCCCGTGGAACACGCTTGGCCGACACACCCTGGGGATATTGCACCCAACTGGATCAGTTCACTTGGGGACGGTGGTGCAATTAGGGCAGTCGGCGTAGAGGTGGAGCGAAACGCAATTGCCGCGCTGCCAGTTCGTGTCCAGGCCGCGCCCGCACTGATGCAGGGTGGGTAATCCCCATCCAACATCCAACCACAATTAGTTGTTGCACTTCCCGCAGAGTGAGTGAGTCTGAGTGAGTGAGAAAGTCTGTCTCTGAGGTAGCTTGAGTGTGAGTGAGTCTGGGCATATGACTAAGTCTGAGTAAACATGAATGAGTCTGGGTATGATTTGCGTGCGAGGGATCTGTGGACAGGTTGCAGGGCAGGGCAGGTCAGGGAAGCAGGCGGAGCCGCCATATCCCGGGGCCTTAGAGCGGGGTGGGTGGAACCCAAACAGGGACCCGGGTGCAGCATGGGAGGACTAGGTGGGCCCAGCTCAGGAGCACGTGCACTCCGTCCGACCCTGGGCCCAGGATGGGCCTGGACAGGGACGGTGCTGGGGTGCAGTCGGTGCCCTCCTGCTCGCCGATTACCGGGAAGCTCGACAAACGAGCCTTGCGAGCCCGAGTGCGCAGTCAGCGTCCGCTTCCCACAGGGGCGCGGGACGGTGCGGGCTGCGCGCCGCCAGGGGGCGACGGGGCACTGGAGGCCTCTGGAGGTCTCAGGAGGTCTCTTGAGGCCCAGAGAGGGCCCCCAGATGTCCAATCGTCTACATCATCGATCGAAGACACATCGCACATGGGGCCCGAGTAGATGGCCGGCATCGTTGATGCATCGGCGACACGTGTGTCCCGATGTTCTCCGCGCCGACGTCGCCGATACATCGCCGATGCATCTTCGATGCATCGGCGATGCGGCGCGATCCTTCGACCCCATCTCCTTGGACCTCGTGTGGGAGGCCTCTAGATCGTCGAGGCTGGGAGGGTTTCTCCTCCAAGCAGCCCTGGGAGGGAGACGTAGCGGACCAGCGGAGCGGATAGGCCCCCATGGGCCGCGCTGCCCGCGCTGGCCCAGAACCCGGGTTCAGAGGGCGCAAGTCCGGCCTCCTCGCTTTCCAAGGGCGCCCTCGAGGGCGCGAAGTTATTCGCGCTTCGCGGTTCGGCTCCGATTCCTCCTCATCCTCCTCTTCTCCCCTGGGGGGCGGCGGGAGAGAGCGCGAAGTTATTCGCGCTTCGCGCAGCGCGAAGCGCGAAGCTAGGCGCCCTTGGCATTCTTCGATCCTCGATCCTGAGGTCCCCGCGCTGGCCGCCCTGCCCGCGCTGGCCCTCCTGGCGCTCGCCGGCCCGGGCGCGGCTGGGCGCCGGCGGCTGCAGGCGGCCGCGCTGGAGGCGGCCTCCGCCCCCCCCCCCCCTCCCTCTGGAGGATCCACACCTCCGGCGGCGTTTTTTTTTTTTTTTTTTTTTTTTTTTTTTGCCTCGGGGGTATCCTCTATCAAGTTCCGAGCCCTGGGGCCATGGAAAATTGATATGTGCAAGACGATCAATGGGGCGGAGGCGAGCAGCCAAATATTTTCTTGATGTCTCAAGCATAGTTTAACCTATGTTCTAAATTATAAAAGCATGAATGAGGCATTGAAATAACATATCTTCTCAAAGATAGAACTCTTTTAGAGTGTCCATTGTCAGGGCATCCGCAACAATTGATCCGGGCCGGTACCGCTGTCCCCAGGAGAGAGGGTCGGGACCTTGTCTGGGGCGGCGGGCTCAAGACAGCACATCGTCGGATATCGGGGGATCCGAGGAGGAGGAGGAGGAGGAGGAGGAGGAGGAGGAGGAGGAGGAGGAGGAGGATCGATGAAAAAGAAACGGCGCAAGCATCAACTTTCTGGAGCTCCGAGCGGGCTTTCTGGCTCGGCTCTGAACCCTCCTCCCTGGCGCGCGGAGCGCGCCAGGGACGGCGCCGGAGGCGCCGCCAGGGGGGGTCCAGCGCAGATCCAATACATCCGCGCGGAGCTCTAAACGCTCATGTCTATGCCGTTATTTTCGTCTTCCAGAGGAGGAGGGCGTCGCGGCAGAAATCGTGGCGGGCGGCCTTCTTGCGTTTTTCTTGCGCTGGGGCGTGGAGGCAGAGAGAGACCGCGGCGGGCGGCCTGTCTGCGTCTTCGGCGTCCAGTGCGGCCGCTTCCTGCCCCCGCTTTCCCCACGCCCTCCTCCTCTTCCCCCTCCTCCTCCGCCTCCGCCTCCTTCTCCTCCTCGTCCTGCCGCTCACCTTCATCTCAGAGAAGGTAAAGGTACCCATACCGCTACCCTTCCCTTGTTTTCCCCTTCGTGGGCCTCCTGAGAGGCCCTCGTCGCTACCGCTGGATTCGCCTTGACGTTCTGGTCAGAGCGCACCCTGGGAGAGGTCCCGTTTTTGCTCCTGGGCGATCTGGGACCGAGCGCTGAATTCTGGGCGTGTCGAGAGGTCGGGTGGCCGCGCGTGGAATCCTGCCGCTCCCCCCACCGCCCCCTCCTTGTGCGGCCCTCGGACGGGCCCCCCCTCCCCCCCGGGGGGCCTTAGGACGGGCTCCCCCTGGGGCCGTCGGGCAACGACTCGTGAATGGGGTCGAGACTCCCGGCGGGGGGCCCACGTCATTCAGAGGAGAACAGGTATCAGTACCGCCACCCTTCCCTCGTTGCCACGGCTGGATTCGCCCTGGCATCCTTGTCAGAACGCACCTCAGGAGAGGTCCGTGGAGCAGCGGCATCGGCGTCTCCTCGCCCCCCATCACGAGCATGTTGCGACGTCGGAGGAGAGGGCTTCGAGGATCGACGAGCGAGTTTTGGGCACTTTTGCAGCCTTCGTAGCCTCCATCTGTCGTCTTCGCCGTCGTCGCCGCCGCCGTCGTCGTCGTTGCTGCCGCCGCCGCTGTCGTCGTCGTGGTTGTCGTCGTCGTGACCGTCGTCGTCGTCGTCGTGGTCGTCGTCGTCGTGCTAGTCTTGGGCACCGGGGGGCCCTTCGTGGCCCCGGCTGGGCGCGGCTCGAAAATGTGGGCAGAAACGCTGTCTCCGCCTTGGGCCACCTCCGCTCACGCGCGTGGCAGGGGAGCGAGGGAGGGAGTGAGAGGGGGCAGGATCGGGTGGGAGGAATGGCGAGGCGAGGATTGAATCGGGTCAGGTGTGTTGCCAAATCCGCCGCGGGCAGCCGGTTTCGGCCCCGCGGCCGGGCCCTTTCCACTGAAACATTGTCGCCTCGGGCGCCGGGACAAGCAGCTGGATGCAGCTGATTCGCTGACCCCCCTGTCGCGCTTGGCGTTTCGCGGGCTGGGCGGGACAGCTTCAGACCTTCGGCGCCGTGAGTTTTCAGTCCTGCCGTTTTCGAGCGGCTCCTGGGCGATCTGGGACGGAGGGCCGAAGTCTGGGAGGAGTGGGTCGAGAGGTCGGGGGGCCGTGCGCGGAGCAGACATGATGAAGGCAGAAGTCGGGGTCCGCCTCCACCGCTCCATTGCCCAGCATGCGTGATTCTACTTCCGCTGATCTTCGGCAATGACCAGGGCCCTCGGGCGGCCCTCGGTGTGCCTCTGCCAGCGTGCCGAGAGGCTTGGCTGGAAAAGCACGCCTTGGCGTCGACCCACATCTTGTTCAGTGGCAACGTAGGGGGGTGGGGGGGGGGGTGGGGGACAGGCTCAGAGGAGTATGCAGCGACCCCCATTCGCCCCTTGATCGCCCATATGAGCCTGATAGCCCACCCCGCGCAAGAACGTGCTGTTTCGCAATCGAGGGCCCATCGCCGATCTATCGGCGATGGGCCCTCGATTCCAGGTCGATGTTTCCCCCTTGAGCCAGTCCCCCTATATCGTCGCTCCACGTCTTGTGGATCCTCGGGCCTCTTCTCCCCCTCCGCCTCCGCCTCCGTTCCCAGCATCGCCTCATAAGTATCGCAGGCCACACCTTCCTCTCACGCTTCCTACTCTTCTCCTCTCCCTCTCTCGAGGGGCTAGTCCCTGCCGCGGGGGGGGTGCGGGGCCTGCCTTTAAAGAGGGCCGCCCACCTTTCTTGCTCGCCGCCGAATGTTCCTCCTCGGTCCACCCTATCTCTCGTCCCCCTCCTCTCTCCCCTCTCTCTGTCTCTCTGTCTTTTCGGCCCTCACTCCCGTTCTCCCTGCCCCTCTTCCTCTTGATCTTTCTCTTGTCGTAGTTGCCGTCCTCGTTTTTGCCCTCTTGCCGCTGTCGTCGCAGTTTTCGGCCTCGTCCTCGTCGCCCTCGTCATCGTCCTCCCCATCTGCTAGTCCTCTTTTCTTCGTCCCGCTGGGCACCTCACGGTGTCCACGGTGGCTCGGCCAGGAGGCGGACGTACACAGCCTGGCGGGGCAGTTTGACATACGCCTTCCCAGCGTCCCCGAGCGGCTGCCCGACGGCATGGAGGGCATCCTGAAGGACATCAAGAAGGACCGCCGCGGCGGCCGCTGTGCCCCCACCTGACGGGTTGGGGCTATTATCGGGTGGGGCCAGGACGAGGATATAAATCCGTTCCAGAGCGTTCCAGAACGCCCTGAGAAGGCCGCGGTGCCCGAGACATCCTCCAGAGCTGCCGGATCTCAGAGATTCACGATTCATCTTCACCAGATGTTAGTTATCTTTGTCCTGGCTTCGTCTTGTGTAAGAGTCGAGGGAAACGCCCGCCCGCCAGCCCTGCATTCCGCGGCCGCCAGGCCCCAGAAGTACCGAGTATCCCGCCCACCAGCGCTGCATACCTCGGCCGCCTGCCCCCAGCAGTGCCGCCTCCTCGGCGGCCGTTCTGGGTGCCTCCTTCCCACTCCACGAGTCCCAATCCAGGTAGGCGGATACCCCTGTGAAACATGATGCCCCCCACATCCCGAGTGTGGTTTTTGAGGAGGAGGAGGAGGGTGGGAGAAGGAGGAGGAGTCTGAGGCGTGCAGAGGAGTGGGGCGGAGAGCGAGGAGGAGTGATGACGCGGGAGGATGAGGAGGAGGGTGGGTGTAATGAAGTAAGGACTTGGGCTACAATCCCGCGAGTGGCTGAGGTGAATAACACATGTTCGCCTTTGTGTTCGTACACAGGCAGTTCGAGGTAGAAGTTGGCCACCCATGGTTTCTCAGTGCATGGTTTCCTGCGTGTACGCAGTATTCCTCACTCGCGTACGATTGATGACCCGCTTGTAAGAGCGGTCTGAACGTTGCCGTTTGTAGTCGTGGCTAGTTTCAATAGGTTGTCGAATGATGTCATTGCCGAGCTTGACCGAGCAGATGCCAAGGACGCCTGCGAACGGGCCAGAAGGGCCAGAGAGCGCACCACGCTGACGCTCCGTCTTGCCGCGGCCCTCTGAGCCTGGAATTTTATGCGGCCAGTCTGAGACAGAAGTACTGTCCCTCTTGTTACCGTCTTCCTGACGAGCCTGGGGGCGCTGATGCAGCAACAACGCCCTCTTAAGGAGGGTCGATATAAGAACCGTCCTTTGCCTCGTCCCTCTGCCATCTCCCTGCACGCGCACGTTCCGAGCTGCTCAGAAAGCGAAGGCGGGGAGGAGGCCACGGAACATAGAGTCATCCGTCCCCCCTGGTTCTTGCCATCCTCGAGCGTTCGCCTCAGTCATAATTCATAGCCCTTCTGTGGGGTTCTGTGGGGTTCTTGGACCGCGTTCCCTGTTGACGCAGAGATGGCCTGGCGGGGCCCAGCGGCCGCTCTTGCTCGGCCCAGGGCTCCAGAGGCCAGGGCGGGAAAGAGGACGGGGGGGGGATCTTCGGGGGCGCCGAGGGCGGGGGGGGAGTGGTGCGGCGCCGGAGAGGTTCGACCCTGGCAATGCGGGGGACGTCGACTGACCACCTCGCCGGTCCTGGCCAGGCGCACTCTGGGCCCAGGCTCGGTCGGGTGGTCGGCTGACGCCCCCAGGAGCAATCGCCAATCCGTCGCCGAGCAGGGCTGCGGTGCGCCTGGGCGGCAGGTGTTTCGGCAGGCGGGCCTGCCCTGCCTGCTCGCACGGGGTGCCAGCCTGGCAGGCAGGAAGAGCGAGCGTCAGATCTGGCGGGCCCCACCCCGCCAGGGACTCGCGCTCGCGATGTCTGGATGCCTCCGTGCGGGGCGCTCTTCTCGATCGACCCGAGCCGCCGCCGCCGTCGTGGCCCCTGCCGTGGCTCGCTGTGGACGCTTCGGTCTGGCCACGGCGTTGTCTTTTCGCTGATCCTGTTGTGCGCACTCCGTCGAGTCACCACCCATGGTGCGTTTCAGTCCGAGCGGTCGATTCGGTGATCGGTTCCGGCCGGCCCGATCCGATCCGATTCCTTCGACGATCCGGTGCGGTCCAATGCTCGCGTAGCGCTGCTGTTGTGCATCCCGGCGCAGCCGCTCCGACGAGATTCCGCCTCCGTGCCCACGCGTTCCGATCCGATTCGATTTGTCGATTCGATGCTGACCGCTCCTGCGACTTTCGACGTTCCTCCCTGGCCGCCCAACTCCCTGCACCACCAGTGTATCGGCCGCGCGGAAAAAAGAGGAGGAGGATCAGGGGTGTGTGGATACCACAGCCGGGGCTGTGAGATCTCCGAGATATCATGACCGTTTTCTCGTTCAAAACATCCCTTGGCCCGCCCTCGTCCGCACATTGCATCGGGCCACGATGCGCTACCCGACGGTCGTTGAAAGTAGTTGTTCTTGGATCCCCTGATCCCAGAGTGTTTCAAGCGCCTTCCTACTTCAGGAGTCGATATGCTTTAGCTGTGCGTTGTTATTCTCTGAGAGGGCCTGAACACAGTCTACTTCATCCGCCTTTCTATTTCATGTTTTTACCAGTTCTTCTTCCGTCCGACGTGTACTCCCCTCTTCCTTGGCTCCTGGGTTCACTGTGGGGTCGCTACCCCTTCATCCTGCTTTTGTGCGAGGACGTGGAAGAGGGCATGACTGTCAAGGAGGTCCTTCAGGACGTCAAGCGAGACTGGAAGAAGGACATGCCGGGGGTCAAGGGCGATATCCGTGACATCCCGAAGGCCGTGTCCTGAGTGCTGGTCTTGCAAGCCGACCTCACAGTGAAGCTTGTCTTCCCACACATGTCGTGGTACTAGTATCTCGGCCGGCTCTTCCTCCCCGTCTCTTCCCTCACTCACCGCCTTTCCGAAATGCCATGATACCAGCGCGTGGGCCCCAAACAGCTCGCTCGTGAAATAGCTGCGGAAACCTGTGTGTGTGTATGTGGACTGTCCCCTTGGCCTGTCCCCTCTGCTTTCTCTTTCAGTCTGCCCCCCCCTCTCGTTTCACCCTATTTCCGCTTCCTCGCTCTTCGCCATCTACCTGCTGGTCACATCTGCTCTCCTCGCCCTCAGGGCCACGTTCTGCTCATTCCACTCATGAGGGGTGCGGGTGGTTTAGGAGGAAGAGGAGGGATGGATATGAATAGGGAAGCGAAGGAGGCGGAGGAGGGTGCGTGCTGAAGATAGAAGCAGGTGCGACGTATGCCCCCCTGAAGGTTTTCCAGAACCTCACGATGCCAGAGGGCTTCAAGCTGCCAACTGTGGATGCGCTGCAGAATCTGCGGAAGTTCAGCGAAAGGGTGGTGCCAACCATTCCTCTGCAGAGCAGGGGGATCGTATACCTATACGATAGCCCTTCGGGTGATAAGGAGGTTGTGTGGAGGGAGGAGCCAACTAATGACAACTGCGATGATTGCGATGATGACGATGCTGGTGATGCGCCATCGAGTTTGCGACGACGCATGATAACGATGTTGGTGGCGATGTATGATGGCACCGACATCGACACCGACGGGACACAAACAGGACACCGACGGGACACCGACGGGACATCACGAGGGCGCGGGCGCGGGGTGGGTCGCGGGTGGATCGCGGGGTGGGTCGCGGGTGCGTCGCGGGGTGGGTCGGGCAGGAGCCCCCTCTCATCCTCCTCCAGTCGATGATCCCTTGGACGTGTCTCAGCCCAAGCGTGCGTTTACTTCGTTCGGCTCCGCCGACGGCGCGCAGCCTGCGTCGGCCTTCGTTGCGCCGCCTGCGTTGTGTTGAAGGGCCTCGATGAGACATTTTGCGTTGGCGTTCGCATACGTTCTGAGGATCATCGATCCAGCAGTCCTCAGGATGGAAAACAGCACAGACACTAAAAAACGTTGATCCCCAGGACAGTGTGGAACACATGGGACGTGGAGTGGAAGACGAAAGTCCCCAACACACGCCTATACATGTATGTTACATGTTTATGTGTAGTTGTGTATGTATAATTATGTATATGTATGTGTGTACATTCAGGTGTAGAAACATGTATGCTTATGTATACCTGCATACATGTATCCATGTGTATGTGTATATGTAGATGTATATATGCATATGGGTTTACCTGTTTGTTGATACATGCTTATGCATAGGTATATGTTTAGGTCTGTGCATATGTACGTTTGTATACGTGTGCGTGTATTTGTATGTATGTTCATTTGTAGATGTAGTGTTTTTGTGTATGTATATGTGTGTATGTTTATGCCTGTGTCTGGGTATCCGTGTATGTATATGGACCTGCACTTGTGTATGTATATGCTTATGTATATGTATACATATATGTATATGTAAATGTAGATGGTTACGTATACGGGTGTGTACATGCATATGCATATGTAGATGTTCATTGCTATGTGTAGACGTCTTTCATTATATGTTGTGTGTGTATACATGTGTTTAGTTGTAACTTTATATATATGTGTATACGCATATGCATGTGTATGACTGTATGTAGATGCATGGATCTATTTATATGTATATGTAGGTGCAATTACATATGATAAATATATATATACATGTATAGATGCATGTGCACATGTCCATGCACACCTACATGTACATGTAGATGTGCATATGCATGCACATGTATATTTGTAGGTTTAGGCTCACCTGCATATGTTTGTTTGTTACGCGTATATGCTTAATGCTGATGCTTATGTATACGGCATATGATACGTATAGAAAAATCCGGAGGACGTCCGACACCTTCTATCCTCGGACAGGATTTCCCTCTCCTCCTCCTCCTCCTCCTCCTCCAGTCGATACATCCTGCAGTCCAACGAACAAATTTTTGGAATCCTGGGATTTGTGTCGATTTATTTGCGTGCTCCTGGGCGCCTCTACGCTCCGCCCCTGGCCGCCGGCCGCCGCGAGGTGGAGCCGCAGGGGGCCTCCGTCGCCGACCAGAACTGGACCCTGGTCGCCATTCGGCGGCGAGCGAGGGGGGGAAGTGAGATCCCACGCTCCAGCAACAACTGGAGCGGGCGGTGCTTGGCCGTCTTTGGCCTCTGAGGTCCTTCGGCGGGCCTCGGGAGCGTCAACAAAACCGACTCGGGAAGAAACATTGGCCTTGGGGAGGTGGTCCGGACCTCTGTGGCCCACGCATCGAACAAAAATGAGGCAGCCGGACGTCTGGGGAAAAGGCCCTCTCAGAAGGCGGCGGGGCTTCTCAGAAGCCCTCGCGCCTCCTGAGCAGTCTTCGGTGCCTTCGGGGAAGGCTCAGAAAACTTCTCAGAAGGCGGCTGGACTTCTCAGAAGCCCTCGCGCCCTCTCAGAAGTCTTCGGTGCCTTCGGGGAAGGGTCCTAGAAGCTTCTCAGGAGGCCCAGTCGACTTCCGAGCCTTCCGAGCAGGCCCGCCCCTGCGCACTTCGCCCCCCCGGGCTCGCCGCCGAGCCATCGTCGCATTCGTCGGGCACGCCGGCCGGCGGCAGCGCCGCCGCCCCCCCGGCTCGGAGGCGACGACAGGGGCCAGGGGCGGACAGGCCAGTTCTGCCACGCGCAGAGGTTTTGTCAGGGGGGAGGGGGCGGAGGCTTCGTGGGAGCACCCCTGCTGCTCACGAGGCGCGGGCCTGTCTGAGAAGCAGCCTCCTTCTAGCCTTTCCCCCCCCCTCCCCCTACCCCCCAGTGCGCGCCGCCAGCCAGAGGCGGGCATTGCAAGTATTCGCCCGGGGGCCATGGACCATCGGCGATCCTGGGTGCACGGCGGTCGTCCAAAGTAGGTATCATTGGATTCCCAGATCCCAATCTATTTTATAGCCGCCTTCCTGCTTCAGGAGTCGGGTGGTTCCCCCTCCTCCTTCATCGTCATGGGGGCGGGCGGTAACCCAATCAGCTTTCAACGCCCTTCCTACTCTCTGGCTCTACCTGCTTCTTCCGACCGACGGGCAGTTGTACCACCGAGCGCGCTCCTCTACTCGCAAAATGCCTACTCGCAGTCGTCAGAGAAGCAAATGTTCGCCTCGATGTAATGGATCGTAAATCCGACGGGGCGGATTCAGGCCATTTGCGAGCAGTTATTTTGCGAGTAGTGGAACGCGCTTGTCGAATGCAATGCTCTTCCCTGGGCTTGATGCGCCCCCGGTCGGGAGCCTTGAGGCGGGGGTCGATGCAGACGGGGAGGTCGGCCAGGGCGCCGCGGTGCGATGACCCGGGCTTGCGCGCAGGATCCTGCGGGATCCAGCAGGATCCTGCAGGCTCGCGCAGGATCCTCAGGGGCGGCCTAGGCGACCCTCGCCATTCGAGCTCCCCTCCGGCTGCATACATACGTCTTGGGGCGAGGCGAGGGGGACGTCACGGAATGGGACCGATTGAGAAGGGGTCGGTTAGGCCGCGCCCGAGATCCTGCAAACCCGATTGGCCTGGCTTTGCATTGACCAGGGTCAGTCGATCTCCGAAGGGCTCTCGGGGCTCAGGAGTCCAGCAGCGGTGAAGCGTCCTGGCCCGCTGAGACTTAGGAGATATTCTGGTAGCCTTCTCGGTGGGGGGAATCATATGCTCTTGGCCTGATGCAGCCTTGTCTGTACACAGCCGCATTCCGATTTTCCAGGACGTTGTTTGATATCAGACCACCTTTTTGTTTTAGGAACATGTCGTGATAGCCTACAGGAGCGCTGGGGAAGGTCGGTCCCTGCTCAAAGGGGGAGCGGCAGCAGTCCCTGTCCGTTCAGAGCAGGATTCTTTGTCGGTGTCGCCCTGAGCGTGGCCCATTCAGGACAGACGTCGCCTGCTCAGCAGCGGCCGCTGTTGGTTTCGGGCAGCATTTGCTCTTGGGCATAGTCCCCGTTAATTTTGTGTCCCCGTTTCATGCGTCCAACCTGGCTGTGGTGGGGCCGTGGCGGATTCCAGACTTGCTGTCGCTGAGGTCGTTAATGGTCACCGGCTTTTTCGTCGTGGCTGACGGCGCCATCGTCGTTTTCGCTTTAGTGACCGTTGTCATCGTCATCGTCATCGTCATCGTCGTTGTCGTCGTGTCGTCGTCTCCGGCCGTCGCCGTCGCCGTCGCTGTCGCCGTCGCCGTCGCCGTTGCCGTCGCGGTTGCCGTCGCCGTCGCCGTCGCCGTCGCCGTCGCCGTTGCCGTCGCCATCGCTGTCGCCGGTGCCGTCGCCGCCGTCGCCGCCGTCGCCGCCGTCACCGTCGCCGTCGCCGTCGCCGTCGCCGTCGCCGGCACCGCCGCCATCGCTGTCGCCGGTGCCGTCACCGTCGCCGTCGCTGTCGCTGTCGCTGTGGCCATCGCCGTGGCCGTCGCCGTCGCCGCCGCCGTCGCCGTCGCCGTCGCCGTCGCCGTCGCCGCCGCCGTCGCACCGCCGCCGGTGCCGTCACCGTCGCCGTCGCCGTCGCTGTCGCCGTGGCCGTCGCCATCGCCGTCGCAGCAGCCGTCGCCGTCGCCGTCGTCGTCGACGCCGTGGTCGCGGATACTTGAAACATGAGGACGGCAGGTCTTTCTCTTTGCGACCCCTGGAGCCAGGCACACGTTGACGCGGGTGGCGTCATAATTCGGCGGCCAGCCGGGGGGGTAAGTGAGAGGGGGCGGGCCTTCTCAGAGGGTTCGGAAGCCCCTCGGCCTTCTGAAAGTTGTCTAAGCCTTCCCCGAAGACAGAAAAGATCTCAGAAGACCGGTGGGCTTCTGAGAAGCCCCGCCGCCTGGGAGGACGGGATTCTTGAAAGTAGTGGGAAATATGGGGAGTCCTGGGATTTATGTCCATTTGATTGTGTCCTCCTGGACC